AGAGAGAGAGAGAGAGAGAGAGAGAGAGAGAGAGAGAGAGAGAGAGAGAGAGAGAAAACCCATAGTAGTACAAAAAAATGCATGTCGTGTTTCTTTTCGCAACCGGCATTTACATGGACTAATAATCATAAAAAAAGCCAGCTAGAAACGAATTCAATGCCCTTAATTCAATTTGTTTTGTATTTTGTAAATGTTGTTCTTTCTTTCGTTCTTCTCTCTGCATCGTCTTTCCGTATCCTTCATCTTTTTGTATATAAACTTCACACACAAATCACACGTTTCGACCGTCGTCTAGCATTTGGTTATTATTGAATATGTTGTGCGCACTCAATTGTTCCAACAATTCATATTGTAAGATGACTTGTGGGCTGGTCAGCTGTATATATGTTTTCGTGTATATCAGCGTACCAGAAACTACTATTCAATTAAATGCTGCATAATCCCTAATAATTAATGTTGGAACAAAAATGTGTGTAACTAAGAAAATCATCTCAATTATGATGCGGGTGAACAAAGAAGAAGAAGAAGAAAAACGGTCCGAAAAATACGGTTTATTTTTTCTTTTGCATTTCATGGTGGACTGTGTGCCCGTGGCACGAATTGCGTCCAAACAAACCAATAATTTGGGAAAATAATACTTATTATTTTCGACTGTTTCTTTGATGATCATGGCCATTCATTGTGTCGTATATGAGCGAGAGAGAGAGAGAGAGAGAGAGAGAGAGAGAGAGAGAGAGTGTTTTAACACTTCTGAAACGGTTTCAACATGCTAATCTTGTGAATTTTCTCAACACATTCAGGGAGAAACTTTAGATTCAATTTGACGGAAAATGATCATAAATTTTTATTCAATTATCTTGAGAAAAGACGAGCATACATCAAGGCAAAGCGGCCGTCTTCGAGGCATTCAGAAGCGTTTCGGCCATTGAAAAGTATTTCAGGAGTTGAGAAGCGTTTACAGGCATTGAGAAGCGAGCATTCACCAGGCAGCCAGTTTGCTCTTTCTGCGATTGTTAACCAATTTAGATGAATTGTGATTAACTCTCGAGAAAGACACAGAGTGAAGTGGAAAACGAAAGAAAAAAAAAATATCAAATGTGATGTAACTCGAAACTTCCTTTTTTGCCATATACCCTTTCTCATTTTGTTCGACAGACGCTCACATGTGAGAACCAATCGGAATATAAATAAATCTATTGTTTATGCAAACACACAAAATTAGGATCCTCTGAAGTTGTTGCCCGAAGAATAGACGTTTTAATGAATTCTATCGCTGAGAAGAAGAAGAAAAAAACGCAGATATTTCGTTTCATTACACATACACACACGAATTCTGAGTTGTAAGTGCCTGAAACGAAACAGCCATTCATGAATGCCACAGACGCGCAAGTATGATTTTTTTTCTCTCCTTTTAACATCTCTCTTTAATTGGAACGAAGCAAAAAAAAAACAACATAGCGAATCTTGTTTAACAATGAACAAGTTTTGATTCATTCATTTCTTTCGGTTTTGGTCGATCGGTCGGTCTTAGTTGAATGTTTTGAATTAACTGACGACTTGACATTTTTATCAGAGAATTAGCACTTACTGGTCCGAAAACAAGCATCGTTAAAACCCATATTGTTTTCGGTTTTCATTAAACAAATGGGCATTCTTTCTCTAGGCGATCGTCTAACCAGCAGTCGAAACAACAACACACACAGCACAGTGTAAAATGAAAGAAGAAAAAAACAATTATGATCGATTCCACTTTCAAACTGTTTGTTTTTCATATACACACAACTGTACACACGTAAACAATTCATTTCTCAAAATGAGTTTGAACGCATTTTCGCGTTGTTTTAGAGCCTTTAGATTGAGTGAGCATAAAGTGTGTTTAGATGAAACGACGATGATCGCATGGAGTGAAAAAGAACAAGGCAAATGAAAAGCTACAGTTGATTGATTGAGATGCAACATACATGTTTTACCAAACAACAGAGAAGAAGTTAAACTCAAAAGTGATTTCATAGCCAAAATAAAGAGTGTGCGTATGTACGAATGTCGGTCGGGATTTTTTTTCTTCGCTTTGAAGTTTGACATATTTCTTTCTTTTTCGAAATGTTAACATTTTCAAAATGGATAATGATTTGTATGATCCGATAGGAGGGGGGGAAATGGTGAATGTTTTTGTTTATGTGTATTCGTCGACATCTTTGAAGTGAGAGATGTTATTCCAATCGGCTCGATTTTGCGGACAGTTGAACAATGCGATTGAAATTGATTTTCTCCTCTCGATTCTCATCCAATAGGCCGAGAAAGAGTCAAGAGAGAATTAAAAACGAAATAGAAAACTTCTGTCTTCTTCTCTATTCTAACCAAGTTTTTCAGTCTCATTTGTTGTATTTTCGTCGGTTTTTCTTCATTCTGTTCGAAAATGAAAATGTTAAACTGTGTATTGTCGAGATTGAGCCATCATCGGCAACAATGCCAATGACAACGGACCAAAGAAGATAAAAAGCCATAAATATACGGCTGATATATTTATTGTGTAACGCATCTACACAATAATCAGTGTCTTACAGGAATAATAGTCAAACGTACCGCTGTGAAAGAGAGCAAACTTCTAAACACACGATTTTTCCTCTGTTCTTCTTCTTCTTCGTCGTCGTTTCATTTCATACGACCGAAAATGCTGCTGCTGCTCTCTCGCTCTGAAGACACCGAATGTCGTCTTTTGTTCAGTAATTCGCTTGTGCCTAATTCAATTGAAGATTGAACGCATTTTATTGAGGAAATGAATTATAAGATATCAACACATATTTAACAGCCATTGATTGTGTGGAAAAACATTGGTAATCGGGGATTTCTTCTGGGATTTATTGGATGAAAAAAAAAAAGAAACCAGAAAGGACACATCATTATTTGTACATTGTGTCCGAATCACCGAGTTTTACATTCAATTTCCTTGACGATTGGGTTTTTTTTGTTATTACCCATACAATCGGAATAAATGAAGAAATAAAGACATTCAACATGTTGGTACAACGAATCGCATGTGTCCTGGTTGAATAAATTGCGTGTATCCTGGTTTTTCTGACGATGAATACTTAAATCATTCATCATATACACCATGTTTTCTCATGGGCACACACACCAAAAACCAATGCCAAACCCATATGTTTGCCAAACCAGGCTCTTTTGTTTGTAAAAAATGCAAATCTTAGATGGAGAGAAGAAAAAAACACAACAACAGATCAAGAACAAATGCGATTAAATGGAGAAATGCCCATTTCTATGGAATAAATGGAATTTGGTGTTTTTTTTTCAATTACTTGGAAATCGAAAAGACGAAAATTGAAATTAGTTAAGAAAACAATGTATGGCAAATGATAATTTGTGGTGAACAAATGACAATCTGTGCTAAACAAATGACCAACTCTTTACACTAATGCAAATGCTCAAGGGATAATTTTTATATCTTCGATAAATCTGAGCCCTTTCAGCTCATTTTCATGTTGTTTTCAAGTTTTTTTTTTCTATTCATTCATCCCGAATGGAATCAGAACAGAACGGAAGAAGAAGAATTAAAATCGGTTCACATGACCACAGAAACAATAGGACCAGCAATGAGTATCAATGCCATAAGTAGCATTCAAAATACATGTATCGACTTATGTTTTACAAAATTAGTGAAATAGTTTTCTAAATATTGTTCATATTTTCCTTTCATTATTTTTAATTATTGTATACAAACATACGCAAATATTGTATTTTTCTACCGATTTTTTCTTTCAGTCTT